CACAGAGCAAGCATCTATTTAATGAGCCAACTAGTTACCTATCTATGGAGACATTCTAATCAGCAGTTCTCAAAATCCGGTGCATCTTAATCATCTGGGGGAACCCTAGTAAAACCCCCAGAGAATGAGATTTGGTGGGTCTGAGGTGGGGGCCTGAGAATCTGCATTTCTATCCAGTTCCCAGGTGATGCCGACTCTGATGGTCTAAGCACCACACTCTGGGACCGCCCTTCTAAATACTGTGAAACATGAGCAGTATGTAAACAGACATTTGGTGATTTCCTCAATAACTTGCAACCTGGCCTTTAGTTTGGAATCCAGATGGGCTGGTTTCAAGGAAGATGGTGATGTCCAGGAAAGGTAGTATGAAATTTTTAAAACTCCATGAAATTTTTACAGCTCTTGTCACGTCTGGTTTTGTTGGCCTGGGTCTGGCTGGCTGTTTTGGAGTTGGCTGGTTCAAAAGGATGTAGTGTGTTGCCATGACAATATTCTTCTCCAAGCAGGAGGCCCCCGAGGTTGGTCCTGCACAACTGACCGTGTATTTCTCGTGGCTTTTCCCTTGGGGAGCTTCAGGGTTCCCATCCGTCACTCCTGGTTGGTGTTCCTGGGAACCTGGGGAGAGTCAGGAGGCTCTAGGCCCCCTCTTCACTCAGCCTATAGATGAAGTGAGCTTTCTTTGTCAAACCAAGGCCCAGCTTGCTTAGGGCCATGGATCAGATTAAGCTAATTTGGGTACAAAGCAGAAGTGGTTGGCAGGGGCATCCCAAGGCCATGGGGAAGGTGCTTTCTGCTCCTTTAATTAGCAGCTCTTGCCTTGTAACACTGTGTGTGGATTCTCAGCTAAGGAAGGCATGCCTCTCCTGCAGCACTTAGCATGAAGGTTAGTACCTCCAAGGATGCCGGGCATGGCAGAGATGTCTGCTGCACGAGACTGCCATGGGATCCCTTTGTTCTCTGCCCAGGGTTCTCCTTGAAGGACAGGCAGATATCCTGGTGTTCTTCCCATAGGGTGTGGCACACATGGCGTCCAGGTGGCCAGAGCTCACCAGAGGACAGTTCAAGGTGTGGCTCTGCAGACCTTGTGTGGTTTGCACTGGGGTTGCTACAAGCCTACTCCTTTCCTGTGTACGTCCCTGCAGCTAAGACAGACCAATTCGAGGACACAGGTTTGAACATCAGGGGAGATCACAATAGATTTTCAAAGAGGGAGTTACTAAAAATGATCCCCGGAGAGCTTCTCTGGGATAATTTTATGGTCACATTGGACCAGGTACAAAGCTGGTGGGTACCCATGTCTGCCTTCGAATGGAGAAGGGAGGCTGGGACAGAGGCCCAGCCATGGGCCGTGTATTTTGCTGTTTAATCTGGGTTGGTTAGTTACACGTTGGCTCTAGGAAAATTTATGTCAAGTTTGTGTGACAGCCTTCATGTGTTACTTAGGAATTAAGCATCTTCTCTGATAGTGGGTATTACCTTGGGGGACCCGTGCTGTAACCTGAATGGATGGGAAGGACAGGAGCTAAGAGCAGATTCCTAAACCCAGAATGTCCAAATTCAGTGAGTCCAAAGGGAAGAGATGAACATTGATAAGCCAAATGCCTGACATACGCTCTTAACATAATCCTTGAAACAGCCAACTAGGACTTTTTAGGCCCATTTCCCAGGTGAGGAAACTTGAGATTCCAGAGGTCAAGAAGTAGGCACCTGGCTGGCTCATTTGGTGGGGCCTGTGACTCTTGATCTCAGGGTTGGGAGTTTGAGCCCCACATTAGATGTAGAGATTATTAAAAAAAAAAAAAAAAAAGTCAAGAAGTGACCTGCCCAAGGATACCAAGCTGGTTAGGGCACACTTCACATCTCACCTACCTAAAATACTGTCTTCCATCAGATTTTCTTTCTCTATTCCCTCCCACCAAACTTTATATCCCTTTTCCAGAAGTATCTGTGTTCTGGCTTGAAACAGTTTCATGAGCAGAGAGATCTATTTGCTTTTAAGCAGTTAGACCCATTATTATGCCTCTAGATTAGGATTATCAAGATGTTGTGGAATGATCCACCCCGTTATACTTTTCTAAAATATATTTTTTAAAGGTTTTTATTTATTTATTTATTTGACAGACAGAGATCACAAGTAGGCAGAGAGGCAGGCAGAGAGAGAGGAGGAAGCAGGCTCCCCGCTGAGCAGAGAGCCCGATGCGGGACTTGATCCCAGGACCCCGGGACCACGACCCGAACTGAAGGCAGAGGCTTTAACTCACTGAGCCACCCAGCTGCCCCCTAAAATTAAAAAGATTTTATTTATTTGTTTATTTATTTACTCACCTATTTGGGAGGGGGAGTGTGCATGCAAGCTGGGGGTGGGAGGGGGGAGGGAGAGGGACAAGCAGACTCTGCACAAAAACACAGAGCCCGACACGGGGCTCAAACCCACCACCCAGAGACTACGACCTGAGCCTCCAGAGTCAGATGCTCAACTGCCTGAGCCTCCCAGGCGCCCCTAATATACTTTTTAAATTAAAGCTTAACAGACCTACAGAGAAGTACACAGATTGTAAAGTGTTCAGATTAATAGCTTTTTATAAAATGAACCCACCGGTAGAACCACCACCCAGATTAAGAAATAAAAACCCAGTTACATTTTCATGCTTCTGAGCCTTTTGTTAGTTTTTGCCAACGGGAACCTCTGGCTAGATGTATATTCTAACTGGGCTGTCATAATATTTGTCCCCCCCAACTCCGTCATAGCAGTATTGGAAGATCCCCTAAAATGCTGGGTAGTTACAAGTCAGCTAATGAGTCTGTTTGTCACTAGTGAGTCCTCTTTATAGATGGCCCAGGACTTCAAAGGGGACTTCAGACACCCCCAGGAACAAGGTAACGGTAACTCCTGAGTTTAAGAGAGTTTAAGAACAGAAGAACAACTTATCTCATAAGTGAAACTCAGGGAGGCTGAAGAATTTGCCCACAATCTCACATCAAGGAAGCAGGACCAACAGGCAGTGATTCCTACACAGTGTGCACACGCACGTGCACACACATGCACAACCCCCCCGATGCATGCTATCTGAGAAGTCCCCATTGAAATGGATCCTGACTAGGAAGGAAGCCATTGGCAGGAGGGTCTGTACAGGGCCAGTGAGGTCACCCCCGTGGAGGCTGCCCACTAGCTCTAGGACTTGGCTCCCTCCACTCCAGATGCCCGTCTGCTCTCAAGGGGGCCACTGGCAAAAAGACAGCCCTGTTCACCCATCATGGCATGTTGGGAAAGTTGCTGGATGAAACCAAACCCTATCTATGGCCAGAATGTTCTGTGAGCAGGTGTCCCATTTAGCACCACCTCTCTTTTCCTTGGACTACAAAGACGGAGGTCCCAAACCCGCTCTGCTACTTACCAGGCCCTATGCCACAGGCGGGTCCTGACCCTGACAACCTCCCAGGCTTGTTGCGATGTTCAGGCCTATCATAGCTGGGGGGAAACTTTGCAAACGACAAGGCACTCTGTAATCATAATACTTATCCAGCAGGTCCTATGGGCCGGGCAGGCGGCTAAATGCTGCAGGGGTATCTCCTTTACTCCTCTCCGCAGCTTATATGGGAAAGGTGCTTCTGTTAGCCCCATTTTCCAGGTAAAGGACTTGAAGAGTATAGAAGCAAAGTTACTGCTCGGGACCACACAGCCACTTCAGTGATGGGCCCCATGCCGACCGAGGGAGAGTTTATGTCTAAGCGACCTTGCCTGCCTGCTGCTTACAAGCAGTCAGTCATTTGGTAGCTATTTTTTGAGCCTGTTAAGTATCAGGCATTGCTCTAGGTGTTAGGGAGGCTGCCTGAGCCCACATACGAAGCCCACACCCTCCCAGAGCTGATGTTCTTGAGCCATGAGCAAGATCCTTTAGGAAAGAATTCTCTGGGAGGTTTGTGTTTTTGGAGACTTTTAGAGAGAAGCCCGCCTCCTTTCGCCCCAGTCCTCCCCCGACACACACACACACACACACACACACACACACACACACACCTGCTTGCTCTTCATTGTTGAAGCCCCCCAGAGTTCTCCAATGAGAGAGATGAGGGAGATGATGGCTGAGATCCGGGTGTCCCCGAGTCTATGTGTCTCCGACGCCCTATGAATAAAGACCTCACCAAGCAGTCCACTCCCTGAGGGACCCCAACCGCATCCCCCAGCCTCATGCCCTGCAGTTTCCCTGCTCCCGCCCAGCGCCGCTGGTGGGAGCATGGCAGGTGTCTGCCCAGCAGCAGGACCCCATCTCAGCCCCGGCGCACCTTCTCAGGGCCAGCAGACAGCACTCAGGCCAGCCTGATAAGAGGCTCGGGGGGGCCCCCTTGCTCACGACACCCTGCCACCTCCACGTGGCCTTGTGTCTGTTATTCTCTGTATCTCCAGACACAAAGGGCCTGGGTCTGTTGCGGGCGCTCAGCTGCCAGAGCGGGAAGGGCGGGCAGGGGTGACGAGCTTTTCAGAAAGGCCAGGGTAGAGGCAGGAGTCACCCAGGTGATCCAAGCCGTTCCCCGGGGACCCCAGCCCAGGACCACAGTGGAAGGTTGCTGCTAATTGGCGAGCCCCTGATGGGCTACATCTACTTAGCACCCCCCTCCCCAGAGACTTCCAGGATGGTCTTGGCACAGCATGTGATGCGAGAGCTCCCCGCCCGAGTCTGGCACAATCTGTCTGAAATTGTGAACATGGAGCCTCTTGGTTTTTTAATTTGTAGTTTCGTTGTTGTCGTTCTCTGCTCATTGTTTCTGCGAGATTGGTATCGGTGGCTACCCTGACTCTGGTGCCCCCAGCCCTGGGGCCCTCTCAGCAGGCTCCTTTCACGCCCCCGGGCCTCCAGACCTACCACCGGAGGCCTTGCGGGTCAGGGAGCAGCGCCGTCCCTGCCCCCGCCCCCCGCCCCGACCCTTTGCCAGGCCTCAGGGCCCAGCTCTCACCCCGCCATCATCCCCGCCACTGACACAGCTTGTCCGCCCTGTCGCAGGGGGCAGATGGCCTGTCGGAGCCGGAGGGCATCTCTCTGAAGCGGGTCGCTGTGGTGGAAGATTTCTTTGACATCATCTACTCGATGCACGTGGAGAGCTCGGCGGAGCCAGGCAAAGCCCCCAAGCACGCTGGGCAGAAGAAAACCTACCGAGCGGTGAGATGTCTGTCTCTGGGCCTCTGCGGGCAGCCCCGGGCCTTGGCAGGAGGCCACGGGCTCCGCACATGTTGGGCGGGGGCAGGGCAGGGAGCTGAGGCGTGATGAAACGGCCTTTGGGGACCCAGGGGGGCACAGGGCAAGGGCATGGCAGCCAGAGATGGCTCAAGGGGGGCGAGGGGGCGGGTTCTGTGGTCTGAGCACAAAGGAGAAGCAGGTTGAAGGGGGTGAGGGAGGGAAGGCGAGGGATGAGGGCAGGAGCAAAGCCCTCCTCTTCCCAGTTTCTGCTTCACTTGTTCCCTACCCCCAGCCCCCTGCAGCCGGCTCTGGGACTGTGGGGGTAGGGGTGGCCAGATAATAAGGCTTGAAAGAGCCAATGCTTCCACGGCATTTACCGTGTGCCAGGCCTGCCCTAAATGCTTCCTGAGTGTGTGAGTTCATTCGATTCCCTACCCCCGTGTGAAGTCCGGACTGGAAGTTCCCCAGGGGAAGTCTGGGGACATGGGCCCTACCTCCAGGGAGATCACAGTTCGACTTGGGGTGGGGAGGCTGAGAACAAAACCAAGACATGAGAACCAGAAATGTCTCCAAGACTAGCTTTGAGGGAACAAGAACCCCCAGGGCATTCCGCAAAGGCGTCTCTAGACACTGACGTTCAGTGCTAAACCAGGGGGTGCTTCACGGAGAAGATGGCATATAAACTGGCATTCTAAGCTTGGATAGGCAGAAGGGAGCTGAGACGGTGGGAAACGTCACACATGGGGAGGTAGAGGAGACGGGGGCCAGAGCAGGAGGGGCCTACCTGGGTTCCGTTCCCATCCCCCTGTTCACTGCCATTGCCACGACTTAGGCATAGCTCTGACCCTGGGACCCACCACTAAGTCAGTAAAGCCAAGCACTCTAACCACTAAACCAGTAAAGCCAAACATCTCTTGGGATGGAGGCACTATAGTCCCATTTTGCAGTTAAGGAAACCAAGGCCTGAAAGTTGATCTACCCATCTAAGGTCACATAGCACTTCAGTGGCCGTCAGCTGATGTCCTCATGTCCCCACTGTGTTGACGCTCTCTCTCTGGCTTCTTAGAGAACTGCCCCTCTCACCGGCCTTCCCGACCCAATGCAGCTGTGAACTCCAACCCTACCCCCACCCAACCCCCAAGGTCTTCCTATAAATAGCCTTGGACTGCTGTGGAGGTGGCCTGTATATTTTCCCATATGGCCTTGTTTTTTTTAAATTCCAACCATCTGGTTTGTCCTTGTCCCCAGAAGGTGGCCTTTGCCCTAAATGAGTCTTATGGATAGACCCATGTGCCCAAGAACCTCAGAAGAGGAGGGGCTGGGCTGAGGGAGGCCAGAGATGATTCTACCACTCGCCCTCCCCCTCCTGCTTCTCAGTGCATGTGTGATGGGACAGGGAATCCTGAAGGTCTTCCCCCCCAGAGGGTCATAGATGAAGGGAGATATGCCTGAGCCAGAGCCTTTGTGGCCCCTTGGTATTCACGAGACCTAGCACATCTTCTCAGTGTTTAGTCTGCCGGTGCTGGGCAGCCTAGCACCTCCTGGCCACAGCCCTCTGAGCCTTCATGTGGACCAAGGGTGCATATATGAAGCCGGGGCTCCTGTGTTCTTCATTTTACAGATGAGGAGACTGAGGCTCAGAGGGACACATAATCTGCCTTGAGGTCACCCTACTGTTGTTCAGAGCCAGGCTGCTGGCCCCAGAGCCCATGCCCTGGCCACCTCCCACTCCTGCCTCTCTATGAACCCCCCTGTGGTCAGCTAGTAAGCCCGATGACTTGCTGTTGTCAAGGTAAATGGGCTTGGGCCAGCCAGATCACGTGATTTCCCTGGTCTCCTTGATGACCAGCACCCAGCCTCGTGCCAGAGGCACTCCCAGGGTATTTATTTACTTATTTATTTTGAGATTTATTCATTGGAGAGAGAAAGAGAGAATGAGTGGGGGAGGGGAGGGACAGAGGGAGAGGATCTCAAAGGACTCCCTGGTAAGCGAGGAGCCCTGATCCTAAGCCCTGATGCCGGGCTCCATCTCACAACCCTCAGATCATGACCTGAGCCCAGAGTCAGAGGCTTAACACACTGGGCCACCGAGGCCCCCCTCCCTGGGTATTTAGGAAGGCAGGGTCTGCAGCCTCGGTGCTGTAGAGAAGGCAGGGCTGGACTGGTCCCACCAGCCTCTGTGTCCCTGGGCCAAGCGGACGTCCAGCCCTTTGCTCTGCACTTCCTGGCTTCTCGTCCATATGCCTGCCGCGTGCCCCACTTCCCGCTGCCCAGCCTGGAGCTGGCACATGACTGGCAGCGGGCCAGCTGGGCTGCGCACAGAGCTGGAATTTCAGCAGCAGGGCCAAGGCTGAGTGGAGCAGGCCAGGGCCCTCCTGCCGTGGGTGTGAAGGCCAAGGGGGCTGCTGCACCTCCCTCCTCCCCGGTGTGCCTCCTTTCCCTTCCCCCTCCTCTTCCCCATCTGTCACCCTTCTCTTGCCACCCTTTTCCTTTTTTGGGGGTGGGGGTGGTGCCTGGAGGCTTTTGTCCCCCTTCTTTTCATCTGATCCCATTTTCCTTAACCCAGGCCTAGCTCTTCAGCCCATCCGTGCCCTCCTGGAAAAGAACCCCCAAGGAAACTCTGTGCCGATGGCAGCAGAGAGGCTGAGCCTGGCACCGTGGGGTTTGCATTGGGCCCCTGGCTGAGGGTTTTTGGACCTTTCTCTGTGTTTTGCCAGACCTGAATCCTGGGGCTGCCTTGCCATCTCTAGGCCACTGGGGGCCTTCCAGATTCTTACAGGCCTGAGGTGCCTGCAGGAAGCAGGGGGCTGGAAGGGAAATGGGCAGACTTGTTCAAGGGCATTAAAGGAGGCACGTTCTTCTGTGGGAAAAGGAAGCTTCTGGCACCCACCACTATCCAGCAGTAGATCAGAGAGAGCAGGTAATGAGCTTTCTGAAACTGAGGGTATGAGCCAGGGATAGATGGCCATTTACAATGGGTAATGCAGGGGATTCCCATTTGGGGCAGGAAGTCCCTGCCATACTTTGCCTCTGATGCAGTGTGACCAGGCGATCCAGAGGATCCCCAGGGGGACTTGCCCCTGCCCCCGGGGTCTGGGGAGGGTTCCAGGTGGTTCTACAAATTTCCTGATCCTACACAGAGGACAGGTCCTTTTTCAAGGGGCTTTTTTGGGAGTCTATACCCATTTGGGTTGGAGCAAGCTCTTTGCTTCCTTCCTCTCTCCCCGGGTGCCGGTAGGCTAGGCCGAGCGGCAGAGTCTGGAGCTGGCCGCCCAGACCACATTGGAGTTGGGGCCAGATGTGGTCAGCAGCTGCTCCAGGCCCACCACGTGCTAATCCACCGCAGGGCAGCAGGAGGATCTTGTAAAGTGGTGCAAATCCCCCCAATTGGCCTCATCTGTCCTTGTCGGCCCTGGAGCTAGGGAGCGAAAATGGGGCCTTACAAGTCAACGACTCTGCAAATAGCTTCTGCTCTCCCTGCCTGTGAAATCTCCCTTCGTTTTACCACCGGGAAAAACGCGAAAGGTCTCAGTGTCCAGGCAGGAGGCCCCAAGTGCAAGGCAGCAGGCTGCTGGGGGAAGCGGGGTGGGGGCAGGGGTCCTGGGGCTTCCCTTCCTTGAACACAGCAGCTCTGTCTTTACCTGTTTCACATTTTGGCTTCACACAAGAGACTATTTCCAGAACTGTGTCTGGAGCTCCAAAACTATCCGAAAACCACCCTCCTATTGACTAGGGAGGGCATAAGCGAGGATTGTCCTCCTCCTTTCAGCTCGTCCTGGGGGCCTCTGTGTGGTGGAACAGGAATGGAGGTCCCATTTCCTATGTGGACAGGCCAGGAGAGTGAAGGCTGAAGGCCCCACGGGGCCCTTCCTCCATGCTGGCCTCTACAGCAGCATGGAGCTAGGCAGGCCTCTGCCCCCCCAACTGACTCCCCCCACTCACCCCCCGCAGCTGTTCACGAGGCTGCAGACCTTCCAGCCCCCCAGGGTAGGGCTTCCAAGGGCTTCTCCCCCAGCCTTCTCCAGTCCACTCCACCTGCTCCTGTGCGGCACCCAGGGCCGGAAGCCACATGCCCAGCGCTCCCTGCCTTGTGGCCCACCAGCCAGCTTGGCGCACTGCTGGGATCCCTGCCAAGGCCAAGAGAGCTGGGGCTGCCACTCTGGCCCCTGGGCTGGGCCCTCTCTGGGAACTGCACCTGGACCCTCCTTGGCGGGTCAGGTGGCAAGTGGGGCCTCTGCTCGTGCTACAGGCCGCCCTTTCCAGAGCAGCCAGGCCAGGAAGGCCCTCCTTGAGCTCTGGAGAAATGATTTCTCTGCCCAGCAGCCGGTGAACTCCGCAGAACAAAGTCAGGCTGTTCCTATGGCAGCAACTTCCCTCCTTTCCCAGCGGACTGTGACACTCCTCCCCCAGGTCCTCAACTCATCCTGGAGGTCTGACCTGGGATGCCACACCTTGCAGCGCCTCGGCGGGGCTCACCTGTTTGCCCAGCTCAGTCAAGGTCCCAATCTTTGCCTGGTGGACACCCGGCACCCTTGCCCCTTTACTCCTGCCGCCATCGGCCCTTCAGCCCCGAAGGCCTGAGAGGGACATGCCACTCCTGAGACTTCCAAGCAGGTTGCGCTGGGAATGAAGATGTCTCTGTGTGTGGCAGGAAAGCCCCCATCCCGGAGCCCTTAGACCTGAGGAGGACGGGCCGCCTGCCCTCCCATCCACCAGCTCCAATCAGAGCGCAGGGCTTTGCCCTTGTCCCTGACCTCCAGAGGAAGGCAATCAGACAGGGAATTTGGAAGGGAGATAACTCATCAAGGAGCCTGCCTGCTCCGCAGAGCATCAAATCAGCTGAGAAATAACAATTGTGTCACCAAAATTAACTCTGCCTTTGCAGCCGGCCACCAAGCAGGGGTGGCCCCCAAGCTCCACAGACCAGCTGAGCTGAGGGCACAGCCTGAGCTGGTCCTCTGAGGGCCTGGCCATAGCCCTGGGACCCTGCCCTCCCCCCCCCCCCTGCACTGTCCCCCCCATCCACTCCGCCCTACCCTACTCCACCTCCCGACCACCACAGAGATGGCAACAGGGCCCTCGTGCATCCCAAAGGAGCAGACCTTGTGCTGTCCTGGAGAGCAGCCCCCTCCCTCCGTGGGCTGACCAGAGCCCTCCGCCAACTTTCCCAGCTGGGCTGCAGGGAGGATGGTGGAATGCTGGGGTGATGCTGCCCCTTAGTGGAGAGGAGCGGGACGGCCTAGGCTCTGGGAAATGGGTGAAAACCAGCAACTGGGCAGCTACCAGTCTCAGCCAGTGAACCCGGGCCTAAGAGGCCGCCAAACCAGGCCGAATACGTTTCCCGAAACCCAGAGCAAGAGGGTACATCTGGGCTTCTGGGCCCACACCCCCTCCTCCACTCCCAGCCTGTTCTTGTATTCCCTCCCACCTAGTTCCCCTCCCTTCCCGCCTCCCTGGCTAGGTGAGGCCCCCTGGAGGCAGTCCTGGCGCGGTGTGACCTGGAGCATTGGCTTTGGTCTGCCACTGCCTCTAACAAGCTGTGTGGCCTTAGGCAAGTAGGTCTACTTCTCTGAGCCCTGTGACCTCACCTGGAACGTGGGCGTCCTTAACAGCGTGTCCAGTTTGAAAATTTGTCATCAGACTCTCACAGCGCTCCCTAAAATGTTCTCGATCTGTGAGTGATTGCAGGAAGACCTTTTCAAACCTTGGGCTCCGTCCATAGGCCCAGAGCTGGTAGATTCATGGGTCTCAGTTTATCCATCCCTAAGAATGGAAATTGTTTCACCCTCCCCTAGAGCAATGTTTATATACTCATTTTTCAGGAGCAACAATTAAATGCTCTGAGAGGAGTATTACTTATTAAAATATAGGTTAGACAATGTTTCGTTGTTCGTGCTTTCTCAATTTCTAACTCTTTTATTCAACATTTTTTAAAAAGTGGTTTTCCATAAGAGTACTAACTCATTTCCATGGCTAAGAATTGAGGACACCTGCTCCTTGCTCCTCGAATCCCTTCCCTTTCTTCAAGGGCCAAGCATCTGCCACCAGCACACAGATCTTGGTGACCTGGTGACCAGGTGGACTCCCCCGGTCCCATATAATGAGCAAACCTTTTCTGTCCCCAGATTGCGGAGACCTATGCCTTCCTCCCGCGAGAGGCCGTGACCCGGTTCCTGATGAGCTGCACTGAGTGTCAGAAGAGAATGCACTTTAACTCCAACGGCCTGGAGCCCAAAGGTAGGGGAGGAGGTGGGGGTGCTGGTGGCTCCGGGATGCTGTGCCGCTGTGCCGGGAGAGGCCCTTCCACCAGGAGGGCCCGCCCCTTGCTGGCACAGACAGAAAAGTGCATGGCCAGTGGTTATCACAATTCCCAGAGGCCAGTGTGGGTCCCTGCCCAAAGAGCCTCTTTTTTTTTTTTTTTTTGGTTGTTGTTTCTTAACTGTAAGAAAAATGTCAAGTTTCCTTGAAAAGCCAATGGTACGTTCCAACTGCCCATCAAGACTCTCTTCTCCCACTGATGTTCCTGATGGAAACAGATCATCTCACCCTCTTCCCTAAGCTCCTTCATTCTTGTCACCCAGACCTCGCCCTGAGCGGTGTCCTCGTGGGTCTGGTCACACTGACCTGTCTGAGCTCTCAGGAGACAGGAGCACGCCTCTCGCCACCTGTGCCTTTTTACCCTCGAGCCCCCACACCTACTGGTAGGGGGTCCTCCCTGAGTGTTCCTTCCCTCCCTGCAAACAACCAGGGAATCTGTGGGGATTACTTAGAATTTAAATGCCTGGAGCACTTGTGACCAGCCGAAGTAGGTCCCTTGGACAGATGTCCATGCCCTCCAGCCCTGTCCTCCCTGCTGAGATGCAGTGCGGACCCCCACTTCAGTCCCATCACTACCTCAACCTGAGCATCCCCGGAGGCCCCCAGTGAGTGTGGGGTCCATCTCTTCACGGGCGGCTTTGGCACAGCAAGGTGGACTAGAGCATTCGGCCGGTACAATCATAGCTCTGCCCCGAGAGGTGGTGGCCAGGTGGGCAGTTTGTCAGGGCTTCCAGGCTGCTCCTGGACCTCAGGCTGTACAGGTGGAAGTCAGTGGGTGCTTCTTGCCTGAGGATGGGAACAGACTCAGAATGAAGGGCCAGCCGTGCGCTTGGGTGGTCCTTCAGTGGCGTCCACCGCTTCTGAGGAAGGAAATAGCAACAAAGCTCAAGTAGATGACGACAAAGAAATCATAGCGTAGGTGTCAGGTGGGGTGTTTTTCTGTTTTGTTTTGTTTTGTTGTGGGTTTTTTTGGTGGTCTCCAATGCCCGTGAGTGACTGACACCAGCTGACAGACCAGATCCAGAAGCCTTCCTATCTGTGGGGTCATCAGGCCACGGGCTGCTTCATTGGGTACATGGGTGGCTTCTAAAGCCTGTGGGATGGGAACAAGTGTGGCTCATACTTCATAAATGCCGGGTTCCTGGTTTAAGAGCAGAGCCCCCCAGGCCACACTTGGTGGGTTTGAATCCCAGCTCTGCCACTCAGCAGCGGTGTGTCCCAAACAAGCGATTTCAGCTCTCTGAGTCTCAGTTCCCTCATCCATGGGTAGAGTTAAATCGTGGTGCCTACTTCAGGGGACCCCTGGGGTTTGAGGGTTCATCCCCATACCTGGCACGGGGCTCACGCAGGAGGAGGGAGCTGGGGCTGTTGCAAGGCCACCAATGCCTCGGAGCCCCCCCCCCCCCCGCCCCCAGCCCTGGGCCAAGAGGGTATTTGGTATTTGGTGCTTGCAAATAGGCCAGGAGGGCTTTCCCTGCCGCACCCCCACCCTGTCAGGGTCTGGGTCCCCAGGCGCGTGCCCTGCTGGTGGCTGCCTGTCCCTTCCTGTTCTGGCCTAACCGTTTCCATAGCAACTGGCGGAGTCAGACACTAAAGCGCTAGCCTAGAGGAACGGAGGCGAGGCCACGAGGGGCCTGCTTTGTGGGCTGCTCCGAGGTGTCCGCAGTTTCCCTCTGTTGTGCTGCTGCCGGGGTGGAGGACGACTGTCACCTCCCCCACTCCTCGGTTATGGTGGCCAGGTCTCTGGGGCGGCAGCTCCACTCCTCCTCATCCATGGGCTCTGGCCTGGCCAGGAGGCAGCCTGTCTCTTCTCTGAGCTGCCCAGGAGAAGGAGGAGGAGGAGGATGGGAGGGATTTGGTGGGGTGGGGGGGACAGAGAGAGTGAGAGAGAGAGAGAATGTGAGCATTCCCGCCAGGAGGGAGCCTCCTGGAATTTCAACCAGCTCTGTGTGCTCTGCACAGGAACCTCTCTTTCCAGGGTTTTGCTCCAGGCCGGTTAGGGCCGGAGAGCAGTCAGTGCAAAGTTTGCGGGGACCGTCCTTGCTGGCGGCAGACAGAATGCTGCTTCTCGGGCCCCAGGCACACAGCTTCCCACACAAGGGAGGAGGAGACACTGAGGGAGTTGGAGACAGTGTGGCCCATGGCAAAGTACGGTGGGGGGCACCCAGCAGGCCTGGCTGTGGCGCCTGGCAGGCTGGGGACCTCTCTTCATAATAGCTTCCACGATCCCATGAGGGATCTGTCCCAGCTTGTAGCTGAGGAAATGAGGCACAGACGAGTGTCATGGTGAAATCAGTTGTCCAAGCTCCTCCAGAAGGCAGGAGAACTTACTTTATCGTCAGCAAAATGGGAGGAATGCCTGCCTCTCGGAGTTGAATTACAGGAGCCCATTCTGGAGGGCGCCTGGTGCAGCAGGCACATGGGAAACACCAGCCTGCTACCCTCTGCCCTCTGTGCCCTCTGTGTCCTGTGAGCACAGGCCCCCTCAGGGCTCCCGCTGGCTCCTGTTCCTCACCTCCTTTCTACCAAGTGGATCCTCTTCACGGGGGCCGAACCTCCAGAACCCCGGGGCTCCCCGCCGCCCCAAAACCTAGGGTTCTCACGCAGTCCCACCACAAGAATGCCAGTGTTCAGGGGGCTCCACAGGGAGACAGCTGATCAACCACCCCACCTAGGTGAACACCCTGGGTACACAACCTGGATGCTGGGCAGAAAGGAAACGCTTGCTTTCTGGAAGCTGCTAGTGGAGAGCCTCAGAGTCTAAAAGGCTCCCCTGTCTGCTTAATGGCCACAGGCATTAGCTGCCTGGGCTACCCTCGCCAGCTGGCAGGGTGTCCCTTCCCCTACCCGAGCTGAGAGCTTGCAGATCTGATCTCCTCCCACCGTACTGGCCTCTCAGGGTGCGGCCATACTGCTTGCTCTTTCCTAGGCACCCCTGCCAATGCCAGCCGTCCCCCTCGTTTTTCTGCCCCAGGCCCCAGACCCCGGCCCGTGTTCCTGTCCCAGGAAGGGGGGGCAGGAGGGGGACAGGGAACAGGATGGAGACTTCTCGAGGGGCTGTTGGGAAAATGCCTGGCTTCCTGGCCTCGTGTTAAAAAGAAAGAGAGGAAGCAAAGCAGCCTCCCCTGCTCAGCAGTTTGTCCCCGGCGGAGCGTGGGGGCCTGGACAGTCCCGTGCCCTCCCCCAGCGCCAGGAGCAGAAACAAAGGAGGCTGCTGAGGATCAGGAAGTCCAAGGATGGGAAATTCCAGGGCCTCCCGGCTCCACGCTCCTTTTCCATAGCCCTGAGTGAGTCCAGGCGTAGAGAGCACAGAGGGTGAGAACCGGGTGTGCCCTCAGACCAGCCCTAGCTCCTGGGGAAAGGGGCCTCTGCAGACACACTCCGGTTCCTCTGAGGTGATAAAATATTAATTGCGTGGCAACAAACCAGGATTAGCAGTGGACCACCCAGTTCTCTACAGCAGGGACCCTCCTTCGGAGACAGAATCGTCCACCCCGGTGGTGGTTCCTTCGCACCAGGCCCAGACTGCTCTGTCTGCTTCCAGCCCCCTCTGTGCCTAGCCCTCCAGATCCTGTCCTCCCCTCAGGTGACCCCATTCCAGTTGCTTCCTTTGCCCCCGCAGTCTTTCCCATGCCAGCCAGGTTGCTGGCCTGGCCTGGCCCAGTTTTCGTACTCGTTTGCTGTACGACACGGGGAGGATACCGCATCTGTAAGATGGGGATACTAATACTAGTACCCGCCTCCTGGAGCAGGAGGGTCTGCGTGGAACTCCTGAGGAGTGCTGAGTAGCTGCTGGCTGGGTGATTGAACACTGTTCTGATCCCTTCTCCGCAAAGCCGTCTTGAGCTATTCCAGAGCCCTCTGAGTTCTTCCTCCCCTGAGCTCTAATAGACTGGCCATCAGTTCCCCCAGCTGAGAGCATGGCTTGTGCCTACAGGGTCCCCCCACCTACCCCACCCTGAATGCACACACAGCAGTGCTCCTTCAATACTTGCTGGTCTGCTGACTCACATCCCTAGGACAGAGGCTTCCTAGCACCCCCTGAGCCAGCCCCAGGCCCCACATCTGTTCTGTTTCCAGATCTGAACACCCCCACAGGCTGGTGGCTCTCATGGCTCCTCTGGGCCCTCCTGATGCCCACACACTTGAACACCCAGCCCCGCCTGGGAGACTGGCCACTGGCCCTGGGAGCCACGGGGGTCCCTGGACTGAGTTCCTCCATTCTGTAGGTGAAAGCTCCAGAGAACTGCCCCCATGTGCTCTACCTGGAGGGGCGAGGCCCGCTGCCACCCCTGAAGCTTGCCATTGGAGCCCAGCAGTGGAGGTCAGCGCTTGGCTTGGCCTGGCTCCAGACGCCCCATCACTGATTATTCCAAGGCCCGTAAACCCAGGGCTAGCTCTTGGGCTGGTTTCGGTTGTCCTTGGCAAAGAGTGTTGAGACATCTCTTTGAGAGGTTCCTCTGCCTCTCTCCCCAGCCACTTGCTGGATCATGGCGGCCCTGTGACCCCTGCGAACGCCCACCGCCCCAGCGTGGCTCAGGCATGGCTGCTGTGTGTGTTGACCATAGCGGGGGCCGGCCTGTCTTCACAGAGCCCGGGGAAGCCGCTGCTAGCCACCTTAGCTCTTGCCCAGCCTGGCATGTGTCTGTCCTGTGAGCACAGGCCCCCTCAGGGCTCCCGCTGGCTCCTGTTCCTCACCTCCTTTCTACCAAGTGGATCCTCTTCACGGGGGCCGAACCTCCAGAACCCCGGGGCTCCCCGCCACCCCAAAACCTAGGGTTCTCACGCAGTCCCACCACCAGCTCCCAGCACCTTCCCTCATCCGGAATGCCCCCCACCCGCAGGAACTCTCACTTCTGGAGGCGTAGGCGGGAGCATTTCACTGCACCTGGGTCTCAGTGTGTGTGTGTGTGTGTGTGTGTGTGTGTGTGTCTGTGTCTGTGTGTGTGTGTGTGTGTGTGTGTGCGCACTCAGGGGAGCCTGGCTCCTGGTCTCGAGCCCTCCCAGCTCGCCTCTGGGCGCCAGAGGTGGTTTCAGAGCTGTGGACATGCTGGGGTGGGAACAGGCCAAGGAAGATCCCTTTTCCGCCCTGAGAGGGCCATACTAGCCGTTGCTTTTTTCTTCCCTAAACCAAGCTGTACCTGGCTTTTTTTTTTTTTTAAGATTTTATTTATTTATTTGACACAGAGAGAGAGAGAGAGAGAGAGTGCCCTAGCAGGCAGAGAGGCAGGTTGCGGGGGGAGGGGAAGCAGGCTCCCTGCTGAGCCGAGAGCCTCATGCGGGGCTCCATCCCAGGACCCCAAGATCATGACCTGAGCTGAAGGCAGAGGCTTAACCCACTGAGCCACCCAGGCGCCCCTGTACCTGGCTTTATTAAAGATACTTGCTCATAAGCAGTCGTGGCATTTAGGCGGGCCAGGGGTGGCCAGCCTCCGTGGATGACCAGACACGGAGAGTCACCATGACACTCAATGAGGGCTTCCTTTGTGGCTCTGACCAGCCATCCTTAGGGTGAGGGTGGCCCTGCCTGCAGCTTTTCACCAGACAGCCATGTCTCTGAGGAAATGAAATGGAAATGGCCGAATTCTCCGTCTGAAGACGCAGCATCTGAAAACAGGAACCAGGGCCCTGTTGAGTGACACCATCTCAGTGTGGTTGCTCAAATGTCTGCCTCACACATGCTTCCAGCCCCGTCGCTTTCGGGCAGGAGGCAGGTCCCAGCATGCCCCTGGGTTCCAGGAGGTCAAGTCTGGGCTGAGGGCGGGGCGGCAAGAAGAGGACCCAAGGCCACGGAAACTGGATTTTAGTTCCTTCCGCGCCAGGCGTCTGGGCAAAGGTGCCAGTGGGCAGCCAGGCCAGATCCCTCTGCCACAGAACCAAGAGGAAATCTCTATTAAAAAAAAAAAAAAAAAAGTTCAGCCCATTTTAAGCCGGTTTCTGAGATATTAGTGACCTTTAGTTCTTCCTCGAAGAATAAAAATCTTCCTTCAAGAACACAAAAACTCTGAGTGTTGCAACACAGATTTAAAAAGCAAAACATAGTTCTGCATTTTCTTTTTTTTTTTAAGATTTTATTTATTCATTTGACAGAGATCACAAGTAGGCAGAGAGGCGGGCAGAGAAAGAGGGGGAAGCAGGCTCCCTGCTGAGCAGAGAGCCCCATGCGGGGCTCAATCCCAGGACCCTGAGATCATGACCTAAGCCAGAGGCAGAACCCAGGTGCCCCTAGTTCTGCATTTTCATACAACTTGGTAAGAAATGTTATTTAAGCTGGATGACTCCCAGAAGTATAGCACCTCAAAAGGACACCCCTTAGTCCCCCAGATGCGGTCTACACGGACTCTATTTTCCGGGCTGTTTTATCCATATCAAGCAAGGGACTCCCTTGTCCCTTTTGCGTAGCTTCACCCCCTTGTTTGAAGGGGCTTTTCTTTTTTCTTTATTGTTAAACATTTATAACACAGAACTTGTCATTTTAATAGTTTTTAAGTATACAGTCGGTGACATTATTTATATTCACACCGTTGGGCAACCATTCCCGCTGTGTTTCCAAAACATTTTCACCACCCCAAACAGAAACCATGTATCCATGAGGCAATAACTTGCCATTCCCAAGCCCCAGTCCCTAATAACCTCTGTCCCACTTTCTGTCTCAGTGAGTCTGCCTAGTCTAGATAATTCCATCCAAGTGCAAGCCTATGGTACTTGCCCTTTTGCGTCTGGCTTCTTTCACATGGCATAGTGTTTTCAAGGTCACAGGGACCTTCCTGGCCTGGCCTCTGGCTCCTCCACCGGGGCCCCGGCACCCGGTTGCCCTTCAGCCCATCTCTCCAGCCCGGCGGTGATGGGGGAGGACAGGCACTGGCCAGTCCAGAAGTCGCTCCTGCTTCTCCTTCTCGGACTGCTCAAATCCCGGCCCTTGAACAGAACTAGGCACCAGGGGGAGCTTTGGGCGAAAAGCCTGGAGTCTTGGAGGCAGAAAGAGGAGGCCAGAGAACAGGTAACCAAGACTCTTCCCCAGGCAGAGGGTGAAGCAGGGTTAAGCGACTAATGGACCAAATGAGGCCCCGCTTAGGGTGACAGACCCCAGCAGGGTACTCCAGCGTTTTGAGACTGGTCATCTGAAGGCATCTGAAGAGGAAGCTGAAAGGGGGTGTGTGTGACGGGCTCCCTTTTAATCATGCTCCCCATCCTCCTTGATTTATTCCTGTGCCATTTTAGTCTGTCCCTGGGGGCACCTGCAGGGACAGCTCAGGTGCAGAACGCGATGGCTGGGTAATGTCCACTGCGGCAGCCTCTGCAGAAGGCAGCTTAGCCGGAGGTTTTAAGTCATGGAACAGTCCTACTCGTTGACCCATGAATTCCATTTTTGGGATTGTCTAAAAAGGATACAATCAGGGGCACCTGGGTGGCTCAGTCGGTCAAGTGTCTAACTCTTGGTTTCGGCTCAGGTCATGATCTTGGGGTCATGAGATCGAGCCCCACATCAGGCTTTACACTCAGTGCAGAATCTGCTTGAGATTCTGTCTCTCTCTCCCTCTGCCCCTCCTGCCTCTTGCACGCATGCCCATGCTATAAATAAATAAATAAATAAAATCTTTACAAAGGACACAATCAGAAATACACACCAATATTCATAGACAAAGATGTTCCCTTTAGTATTGTTTACAATAGCCCCCAACAGGAAACAACCTAAGCAGCCAGTTGCAAGTGAATGACTTAAAATAAATTATGATAAAATAGTACACAGCTATGAAAATGCTGTCTGCAAAGAAAAACAAGATTTTTGATGGTGGGTGAAATGATTATGGTGATGTTAAGAAAAAACAATTTTTTTTAAGCGGACTACATAATTTTCTGTATGCATTTTAATATCAAGTACACAAGGAAGAGAAATCAAAGGAAAGAAAAAACAAACAGAAGCATATGCCAAGCTGCCTGGTGCTGTGATTGGGGTTTTTTTGTTTGTTTATTTTGTTTTGTTTTTCTTTACATCTTTCCACACTTTGCAGATGCTCTACAAAAGGAGCATGGCTTACTTTGATCTTCAGGACAAGAAAGCAATAAATGGGAGGACCAGGCCTCCTCTCCATGTGATTAAGGAGGGACCAGAATTAGGGAGATGGGCGCTGGAGGCCCGGGCCAGACCCGTGAGCCCCGGGCCAGACCCGTGAGCCATATGGTACCTGCCCGTGCTTTTGGGAGGACGCGGTGGGGATGGGAGATGGGGTCAGATGGTGATGGCATGTGTGCCGCAGGAAGCTGGCTCAGACTGGGGTTGGAAGCATAGATGCCTTCGAGGGCCTGGCAAAAGTATAGTACTCACGTGAAAATGGGCATAGGAAAGGAGAGCTCCTGCCCCATCTGCAAGAAGGAGCTGTGGCAGAGCCGCACTGGTGGGTGGCCACATGGCCACATGGGCCCTGGGTGACCAGAACTTCCATTTCTCAAAGCAGCCAAATATTCCGGAATTTTAACCTGTGCACTCTTCCCAAACGCCAGCACCCCACTGCAACCTCTCCTCAGTGCCGTTGGTCCCCATCCACGGGCCAGATGTGGTAGCTGAGCCGCCAGCTTGTGAGCTCAGGCCTGTTCCTTCCTCTTCCTCAGGCTCTGTGCTCTCTGTGTGGGTGACAGGGTGTGGTACCTGCCAGGGGGCCTGGGCACAGACTCAAAGTGGCTTCCTTTTGTTCTTTCTACCAGAAAACGAGCCTCCCTCTCCCCTGGTCTCCGGGATCATCGATTACAACATGCCCCTTACCTCCACGTACCTGAAGCAGATGAAGTTGCGAGTGATGAACTCCCAGGAACAGGTAAGGCGCCGTGTTCCCTCACCCGGCCCGGAAGCATGCTAACCCGCCTGCATGTGGTTGGTTCTTTCCAAGGTGTGGGGCCACAGCGTGTGTAAACACACTGGGAATCAAAGAGGCCCTTATCTGGTGATCTGGGCCTTGCCATCCAGGCTGAGGGGAGAGAAAGAATGTGTTCCTGGTTAGGGGGTCGGCTGGGCTGACCGCCCTATGAGGTCTTCAGTGAAACCCGGGAAGCTCATGCTTCTCTGAACTCTCCCCAAGGGCATGGAGGGAGGGGGTTTGCCTGAGCTGTAGACCTTGGCTCTTCGGTTGTTCTCTCTCTGCTTTGCCATTTGTCTGCAATGTCGCTCACCTCTTTCCCCCAGGGAGGTGAGAGAGGGGCCCTGGCTGCTTGCCTGTGGCCTCTGGGGGCCCAGGCAGGCCAGAAGGATGGGCTTTGGAGGGTGGCCTGCATGAGATAAGGCCCTGGGGCCCCCTGGCTGTCCAAGACTCCCAGCTATAGATTGCCAAGTGCTGTCAGGCACCATGGAAACAGGCTATGAAAAGAAAACCACTCTTGCCTGCCTCCCCACACAGTCTACCTTCTAGCTCTTTGCAGAGCAAGTAGCATGACTGTCCTTTGAGGAAGGACTAGGTGAATGCCACCCCCTCCCTCCACCACCGCCTAAAACGAAGGTCAGAATTTCTTATCTCCCGCTTCAGATTTTCTCATCTGTTGTGACATATGAATCTGCCGTATCTTGGAGGCCTACCTAGGGGAATGGGTCTTCCGCCCCCCTCCCCCAACTAACTGTCTGACTCCCAGCCCTGGGTGCATGCTGTCCCACATACTGCCGGTCTCCTTGACAACCCGAGCATGTGCACGCGGTGGGCGTGGACGCCACAGCCAGCTCCGAGGTGAAGTAACGGGATGCGTCCAGGTAGCATCTGGGACTGTGGCTCTCAGTTCTAGGACTGGAGCTGGCTGGTTTGAACATGCCCGGTTCCGCCCTCCGCTAAGCAAGGAGGGGTGGTGTGTCCTCCCATCCCCTCACCTCAGCTGCTAAGGGTTGAAGGAAGTAAGCTTTTGTTCGGGATGGTAGAGTCATTTGTGTCTCTGTGTCTCCTACGTCTTCTCGCCTGAGGTGGTCTATTCTATGACGGTTACACGCCTAAGAGTCATCACGTGATCAAACATAATGCGAGTGAGGAAGATGGCGTGGGGGTCTCTAACTCACGGCGGGAAGATTGTTTCTGTGCAGGAACGTCGGTAATAAGGGTGCTTTCGCTACTAGTTATAAACTCTGAACACCACTGTGCATGTTCAGCCTGAGACGTCTGACTCCCGTTCCAGAGTCATTTCTTTTCCTATAACCGTCCACACGGTCAGGAGCACCTGGCTTCTCACACATTCTTATCACCATTCTCATCTGTCACGGGGAAGTGTGGAGCTGCTCGAACAGCTGGTCGTGCAGCCTCACGGCTCGCTCTTTCCTACAAAATGGCGCTAGATCCATATCACCCCCGGAACCAGTAGTGGTCCGTGTAGCCCATGTTGTGATCCCTCATTACTGGATCCTGTTGTAGCTTGTCTTGTTGTACAAATTCTCACTGTCTGTGGGGAATTAAAACTATGGGTTAGGTACATCGGCAAGGATTCAGTCATTCGGCAAATATTTATGGATCCCTACTCCATGAGCCAGGCTCTAGGGATGAACAAGTCTTAGGAACTAATGTTACTGGTTCTTCTTATGATTTGGGGGAAACAGACACTAATGAAAAACAAAAACAAAAACCCCACACACCAATGCCCAGCTCAGAGCAAGTAACAACGAACAGGTGGGGGAAAGATGAGTCTGTCATCGCAGTGCAGTTGTGATGAGGGCCATGCGTTAGGACACATGGTGCTAAAAGTACTCTTAGATGGGCATGAGGAGTCAAAGCAGGGCTTTGCCTCAGAAAGAGACACATGAACTGAGATGGAGGTCTGAAGGGAAGAGCTCCAGGCTAAGGAAACAGCTTGTGCAAAGGCCCTGTGGCTCAAGGAAGGCTAGTACCCCTGAGAATCAGACAGGCTGATATGGCTGGTGCAGAGAGTATGAGGTATTCTGTTGTTGAGGAAAAGGGGAGAAGACACACGTGCTGGGCAAAGAAGCACTCGATGAGTATCTGTGAATGAACCAAAGTTCATGAATCAAGATGGGTGAATTACCCTGCTGAGGTTTGGGCTACTCACAGAGGAAAGGCAGATTGTGGGAAGGTGCTTTTCCCCAGGGGACTCTGAGAGTCCAGCCAGGGCTGGAGGTGAGAGTGGGTATCTCAGAGTCAACTGTGTCTTCCTCGCCTTCATTCATAGTTTCCCTGTAGACCTGCCTTGCGCACAACGGGCAGGAGAACCAGCATCGCGCCTTGCACATGTGGCCTTTCATCTGCCAGTCTCCGGCACTTGCCACATGGCCCTGAGCTGTCCAGGCCTCGGTCCCTCAGGCAGTCCCTGTTCTATAGCTGGGCACGTGGCGAAACAAGAGATCCCAGTGCTCATCCGATTATTTCTATACAGGAGCAGATAAGGGCCAAGGACCCAGAGGTCTCTGATTCTTCAGCTTGAGTTGGAATGAAAAATACATATATCTGAAGTGGTAGTTTCTCCCCTGCAGAGAATTCAGAGTTGGGCTCCCCTTGGGGTCCAGGAATGGCCCTGCTGTACAGACGCAGCCAGGGGCCCGGCTCTGCCACTATCAAACCCCGTGTGCTGACGAGGCTCTGAAAGTGGCTTCGTTTCCTGAAGCATCCCTCTGACCCCGAAATGCTGACAGAGGACACCTGTCGTGTTTGCAAACCACTCATGCAGGCCATATGGAAAATAAACCCAATTCTAAAGGAACAGAAGCTGGGATAAGTGATATTTTATTAATGCCAGACAAAGCTCTATATCTAAAGAGTCTGGGTGAGAAAAATCCCGAAAACTCATTTTTTCCAGGACGAGATAGGCTGGGGACAAATAGTAAGGCAAACAGAACGGGACAGGGGTGGGGGGAGAGTTGACACGTGAACCGGACAGAACCATGTTACTTGTCCAGTTGTGTCAAATGAATATGCGAGGAAACGGGCCCTTCTCCACAGATGACATTAGGTATTATGAAAATCAATAATATTCACACAAAGAAAAAAGATTCTTTTTGAGGGCTGATTCAATGGAGTAAATATTTATAGTGTCCTCAATATGCAAGACATGGGCGGGGGGTCAGAATCCAGCCTCCCAGCAGCTCCCTGCAAGACACAGAGCCCAGGAGTTATCATCACCTTGGCCACCCTGAGCTGAACATAGGGGAGTGTAGTCCGATAAACTCTTTCTTCCCCCTTTCTTGGGAAAATTCTTATAAAGACATAAAATGGAAATCACATTTAGTTGTACCAAGGAACGTATGAGGAATACATTTTCTTGGGGGCAGGGTAGGAAGACTTGATGAAACGTGGACTGCCTTGGAGAATGCTCTGTAGCGTTCCCTGATAACATGACGTCCCAGGGAGGGGTGCCGCCCTCACAGGGCCAGAGGCAGCCGTCAGGGTCCTCTGCGGCGGCTGAGCTGCCCAATCCCCCTATAGGGCTGTGGGCAAGGTGCACCAAAGAGGAGGGCGAGGGTCTCTTCTCTGCGTGGCCACTGGGTTTTTGTTTTGTTTTGTTTTGTTTTGTTTCTGCATAACTTGGTTTTCTTTTCTTATTTCTTTGAATTACATAGGTAACACCTGGTCTCAGTAGCCAAAAGCAAAATCATGGTGATAAAAATCACCATCATCTGACCACTCAGGTCACTGTGAATATTTTGGGGTCCAGCCTTCCGGACTATTGAATAGATAGGGGATTATCCTCTACAAACAACCTGCTTTGCTTTTCGAGTGCTGATTTTCTGTATTATCAGAGCCTCTTTACCCTCTGGGCCTAGATGTTTCTACCTAGCAAATAAGCTGGTTATATAGTGTTCCTGTGATTCACTTGCTCCTGCACCCATATCCACCCACCCATCCACCCACCCATCCACCCATCCATCCATCCATCCATCCATCCTTCTACCCATTGCTCACCATGGCCAGGCACGGTTGCAGGTGCTAAGGAGATAGGGATGAATGGAAGTGAGTCTGTGCCCTGCCTGCCCTCACAGTTCAATGACAGAGACAAGGAAAACCAAAATCAACACTCCGGGGTCTTAGAGGAAGAACAGAGGAAGGACAGGGAGGTCATCTGGGTGGGTGCTGTTGTAGGTACTGGGTTATTATTAATTAGGCACCTGTTCTGGGGCACCTGGGTGACTCAGTCGGTTACGCATCCAATTCTTAAGCCCGCTTAAGATTCTCTCTCTCACTCTCCCTCTGCTCTCCCCCAACCCTTTCCCTCTCTAAAATAAATAAGTAAATAAAATTTGGCCCCAGTTCCGGGTGGAGCGCGTCACACCCTTTACTCCTTCCCCTCGCAGCTCCGCAAAGTCCCATTGTCCTCATTTGGCGGATCCCAAAGCCAAGGCTCAGAAGGGTTCAGCACTTGCTCAAGGTCAACCACTAGCATGAATGAAACTCGGATCCCTCCCATCCCCGAACCTGTGCACCCGCAGGGCCCCAAGCCCTGTTTCTCTCCACACTCCCCCAACAAGGTGTGCTGATGAGGATCTGGAGCAGATGGGCTGCCCATGGGGTTGGTGGAGGGAAAACGTCCTTGGCAGAGATGCTGACAGAGCACGTCAAGGGTTTTGTTTGGCTTGGGAACCGGGACCTGCCGTAAATATATGATGCTTAAGGAAATACCGCAAGAGGAATTTGGCGGGGGTTGGGGGTTGGGGGGGGGGGGGGGCTAGGGTTGGGAGGGGGGTCACCCCTACCTTGCGAGAATGTTCAGTGATCTGCAGGGGTACACATATAATTTGATATGCATATTATGGGTGATCTTATCCTGATCTTTCCTGAGATCCACATGTTTGAATCAAGACCCTAACATAGAAATCATATCCAGATCCGGAAAGAGACAAATC